TATGTATGGTGTGTGTGTGGTGTGTGTGTGTGTGTGTGTATGTGTGTGGTGGGTGTATGGTATCTGTGTGTATGGCATGTGTGGGGTGTATGTATTACATGTATGTGTGTGTGTCTGTGTGTATATATGCACATGGGCAGGTGTGTGTGTGTGTGTGTGTGTGTGTGTGTGTGTGTGTATGTGTGAGAGCGTGCCATGGTGCACACGAGACAAGTCAAAAGACAACTTTCAAGAGTCATCTCTTTCCTTCCACCGTGGTTCTAGGAACCAAACTCCTGTGAGGTTTGCATGCTGACGTCTGCCCTCTGGGCCACCTCATCGGCTCTGGAATAACTATTCTTGTAAACTGAGTCTCTTCAAAGGGCAAAGATTATCTGTCTGGTTGAACTCAGATCCCTAGCCATCCTCTCAGCCCTTACTCAGCACACAGTGGCTGTTCAGTAAATGTTCGCGGACTAAATGAGCGGATAGAGGACCACGGTCCTTTCGGCCATTTGTTAAGAGTTTTTATCATTGCATTTTAATTTAGTTTAATGTGGGGTTTTTAGCATTTAGAATTCATAATGATTTGTTATGTTTAGATACATGGATTATCACTCACTCAATCTTCCCTCAACCAAACAGAACCACGAGACTCAGAAAGGTTTAAAAAGAACAACAACAAAGTAAATCCCAGGACAGCCAGGGCTGTTGCCCAGAGAAATTTTGTCTCGAAAACAAACAAACAAAACAACAACTAAGCAAAAAGAAGGTAGACAGGATCCTCACAGTCTAGTCTGACAGAAAACACACCACTGTTGATAATTTAAAGTAAAATGCTCACAAAGCTCTAGGAAGAAATGTTATCCATGGAGCAGCCAAAGGATTCAAAGAAACGGTGGATTACATCCACCGTGGGGATTAGAGCCAACGCCTTAAAGACCACAAATTTACCCTTCCATAGGCGCCAGGAATGACTGCCTTGGGCGCCAAGCCGGGGTCTGTGGAGAGGGGCGTGGAGAGCAGGGTGATGGACGGTGCTCCTCTCTTCCGAATGTCATCAGCTTCTGTTTCCGTCTGTCTTTGGACTGCTGAGGTGGCTCAGTTGGGGAAAGCACTTGAGGTACTTGAACCTTCGCTGTAGAACAAGAGAACAGACTTCAGCCAATTTGTCCTCTCTCTCCACACGCTTGCCCTGAGCACGCGCCGCCTCCAACGGATGAATTGGGGATGACGTCTGAGACAGACGTGAGTGATGTATGCAGTACTGAAAACTGTGTGTACAGGGTGGGCTATCCCTTCCCTCAGTGAAAGCCCAGAAATGGGAAACAGCGGAGTGTGTGTCTAGAAATGGGAGGTAGCACTTAATCGGGATAAGGGACAGATGCAAGAAAATAATAAATGAGAGATGAAAATAATAGAGACCGGAGACATAGGCTAGGGCACAACATGCAGAGTCTGACTAAAGAATGACACCTTCTAGACAGCAAATGCTTCCTACACATTAGTGTTCTTATCAACTCCCAGGTCTTCTTGAGTATAAGAAGAGCGGAGTGAGTCAATGATTCCTTCTAAGAGATAACGCATGCCGTTGGCAGGAAAAAAGCAACACTCTATCCATTGTGACGGTTCTTAGGCCAAGACAGCATGTGGAAGGGTGAGGAGAGGGGGTTACACACACACTCAAGTCTCACAGGCTTTACCCAGTAATACCCATTTGAGGCAATGCTCTAACACTTACTTAGTCAAAACCTAACTTTTTGTGTGCCAGCTCTCATTTCTCCAGCTCAGAAAAGTCATTGGCGACCTCCTGATAGTGTCCCTGGCCTGGACTGCTGTCAATCTTAGGTGGCTTGTGCATTCTGTGGTGTTTGACACCATTTGACACTGGACACCTTCTCAACCTTTGTTTTCCACGGTTCCTTTTCTTTTTCTTCTCCCCATCTAACCCTTAACGGTCGCATCTCTGAGTGAGTGCTCCTCCATCGGTCTGGATGTAAGGATGACCTCCATGCTGGGTCTGTGGTTGTCCGCCCACTTTTGGGGGTTTCGCCATGGTCTCTTCACTTCAACTACCTGAAAACTCTTTAAACTGACCTTGTGATCCTCCAACTCTTCTCCTACGCCTCAGATTACTTCCAGTTGTCCATTATAACTTATTAGCATATCCCACAAGCACATGGTAGCTAACATGTTTGACCCAGAGTTCATGTTTTCTCCCTTTTGTAATCCCCATCCCCAACACAGATCTATCTATCCCAACCTTCTGTCTGTCTGTCTATCTATCTATCTATCTATCTATCTATCTATCTATCTATCTATCTATCCCAACCTTCTGTCTGTCTATCTATCTATCTATCTATCTATCTATCTATCTATCTATCTATCTATCTATCTATCCCAACCTTCTGTCTATCTATCTATCTATCTATCTATCTATCTATCTATCTATCTATCAACTTTCTATCATCTATGTCTGTCTGTCTATCTATCTTTCTATCTACCTACCATCCATCCATCTGTCTATCCATCCCAACCTTCTATCTATCTATCTATCTATCTATCTATCTATCTATCTGTCTGTCTGTCTGTCTATCTATCATCTATCTATCTATTCTATCTATCTCAACATTCTCTTGCTTATCTTCATAAACAATGTCATTCCTTTTCACAAACCAGGAAGCTTAAACTTTCTTCAACATCTGCTTGCTCTTGACAGGTTCTTTCTCATCCAGATGGTCTTTATAAGTCTCTTTGTTATTGTTTGTGGTTTTCTTGCACAGGGCCATAGCCTCAAACTCTCTCTCTCTCTTTAAAAACACACACACACACACACACACACACACACACACACACACACACAAACCTTTTCTGTGCAAACTCTTCTCTCGCTCCCACACCTTCTGCCTTACGTGTCCTTGTCAAATCTTGCTTCTCTCGTCTCCCTAACATTCTACGTGTCTGCCAGAGCAGAACTGTGCCCTGGGTCCATTTGAAAACTCTGAAGTCATTAATCCGTAAGAAATCCAACTGAGCATCAGTTAGCAGACCCAACTGAGATCACAGTTTATAATATATAATGAACCAAATAAGTGCATTTCTTATAGATACACACACACACACACACACACACACACACACACACACTTTATTCACATCCTCTATCCCAGAGGCAAGGAAAACACTGATGTTGTGACTTTGTGAGAGGTAGATAGTTTAGGGAGGGCTGAGAAGACAGGCTTGCAAAAATGGCCTATCATAGATTTCAGTCTGAGGAACCAGGCTGACCCCACCCAGATTAAATCCATCTCATCCTACACCAATCCTGAACCTGCTCTGCTACATGAAACTGGAGGAAACCAGCTAATGTATCTGAGGGACACTACACATTCACAGTCTCTAACCTCAGGTGTGGCCCATGCTGCCTAGCCAATGGCCGTACCTGGCTTCCCAAACCTTTCTCCCACGTCTCAGACAAATGCGGTCTTCCTCATCTAATGATCTCGCTTCCTGTGTCAGGTACAAAGTGCATTCAGTCAGGAGAAAAACCCAGCAGCAACCACCTCTTCCCTGCCTTGGTGGCCACCTGGTACAGTTCCTTCCGGTCTCTGTAAACTGGCAATGCCCTTCCCTCTGCTCTATCAGGTCCCGCCCCCCATCAGGTCCCGCCCCCCATCAGGTCCCGCCCCCATCAGGTCCCGCCCCCTCCCCCTTCTCAAACACACTCAGGTAGCCCTCCAGTAATTTTCCTCTCTCTCTCCCTCTCTTCCTCTCTCGAATCACCATTTTTCCTTTCTATTAGATCTTCACAATCAATATCAAACATCAACATGCTACGTTTTCTCCACCCCCACCCCCTTAAAACAAACAAAAAACCCAAGTCCTCATTTGGTTCCCCAGCCCCAGCCAGTTTTCACTCTGAAAACGGCTCTCTGGTCTCAAGGCGGAATCCTCTCTAGAGTCCTCCTTAATTACACTCCCATTTACCACTGAACTGAAACTTTCCCTATGAAGGCCTTCACGTGGCTAAATGCAACAATCCACTCTCTTTCTCCATCTCCTCTGTACAGACGATTGGTGCCGTTCCTCTTCCTTAAAACCCTCTTTACTTTGAGAACAGTGGTTCTCAACCTGTGGGTCATGCATGACCCACACATTTACATTATGATTCACAACGGTAGCAAAATGACAGTGATGAGGCAGCCACGTTATGGTTGGGGTCACAGTGTTAGGAAGGTTGAGAACCACTGCCCTAGAGCATAATCTGCTTCCGATTCATTTCTCTTTCAATGTTCCTTCTCTGTCTTCCTCACTGGTTTACCCTGGTCACCCTCAACCAAAAGGTGTTCGTGTGCAATGCTCTCAACTTTAGAATACATGACACGGCTCTTTGTGCGGCCGACGCGCTTTCTAAGTACACCTTGCTTATCTGTAGTTTAGCTTTCGTTCCCCAGGCCGAAGGAGGAGTCTCAGAAACATGCTGCTGTTGGGTGAGGTGAGACCATTTGCCAGGCGTACGCGCCACCCGGACGGACGATCCGATCCCTCAGCCACTCACCAGTCCACGGTCTCTTCTGTTGTAGCATGTGCCTGCCACCCGGTCGGATCGGCTACCCTTCCCTTCGGCTCGGTGACCTTCTGTGACCCCAGCAACGGCGACTGCCCCTGCAAGCCTGGGGTGGCCGGGCCACACTGCGACAGGTGCATGGTAGGCTACTGGGGCTTCGGAGACTACGGCTGCAGACCCTGCGACTGTGCGGGGAGCTGCGACCCGCTCACTGGAGACTGCACCAGCAGGTAAGCGCGCATGCCTCGTGGTCTTGTCTAGAATAGTTCAGACTCTCGGAACTCAATCGGGCAGTGACCGCACACATTGCTCACATCTCCTTTAAAAAAATTTTTTTTCAGTTTGCAGAATAATTTGTTCATGCAATTTTTTTTAAGGAAATTATCTAGTTCATTTTGCAAAATAAGTTATTTTGCACAGTTATCTCCTAAAACAGCTCTGGTGTCTGGAAAGGGAAATAGGGAGGTTTGGATCTACGTAACAAGATGCATTTTTACTCAGTTTGCCCTTGTTTTCTGTTCTGTTAGCAGTGCTGATGCAGATTGGTACCACGAACTCCCTGCCTTGCCCTCTCCACACAATAAGAGTGAGCCGACCTGGGATTGGGGGGATGAGCAAGGATTCTCTGCACTCCGACACTCAGGTGAGACCCATACGTCCGCTGCCATATTTCCAAGTCTGGTCTGGAGCCGTGAGGATTGCCTCAAATCAGGGGACAGTTTGGGAATCCTCTGAGGGGCGTTCTTTAGTCTGAGGTTTAATAAAGCCATCGCCTGTCCCCACAAATGTGAAGGTGAAATACAGCTGAGGGGCATTTTAATAGAGTTTTTTTTCCCCCTGGTTTTTGTATATATATCAGGAAAAATGTAGAACATCACAGTAGAAAATGTAAGTCTCCCCAGTGATGCCCACTAGTTGTACAGATTGCAAAGTAAAAACACAGGCCGTGGTTTGTTTCCAACCGCCTTTCATGATCGAGGCTAACCTGACCCATTCTGTATCTTTAAGAAGCGCCTCATGGTGGTCCCTCCTTAGCTCCCTTCTGCCCATTGGTCTGAACTGACCTCTGCCGCCCGCCCGATTCAGAAATCAGAACCAAAAGAGCTGTGCTTTCTGGGCCCCCACGCTTTGCCCCCGGCCCCCAACTGTTTCCAACCCACAGAGGTTGCTCTCTGACGTGAACTGCATCTGTCTTCTGGTCTCCTTTCCCTACCGCGGCTGTGTGTTTAAAGCTGGGATGGGGCTGAGGCGGCAGGCTGGGCCAGGAAAACCCTTGCACAGTGAGCGTGAGGACTTCAGATTTGATCTCTGGTGTGTGACGAAACTTCCCAAGGGAGACACAGCATACGTGTCTATTCACCACAGATAGGAAAGCCATGACAGACCAAAGTACGGATACCACCTAAGTCCCACCAACTTGGTGACCCAATGCATTTTATGGGGTTACTTGCAGGAGTGTGGATGAGGGGTCACTTACAGGAGTGTGGTGAGGGGTCACTTACAGGAGTAGGGGTGAGGGGTCACTTACAGGAGTAGGGG